ATCTCTGGAATAAAAAATATTTTATATAAATCTAGGTTTATTATTATGTTAATGGAGGTCACAACTGTGTCTATAATGAAGTATCCATGTTCTGATGATTATGGGAGAGTGCATTTTCTCTTAAAGTTAAGGACTCATTAAAGGAAAAGGTAATATTTTAATTATGGATATCAGATGACATTGCCAGGACCAATTATGTCTTGTGTTATTTCTTCTGGTTTAATAACATACGAACGTCAGTCTCAGGCTCATGACACGTTTTTCTGTTATTTGAATTTTTACATTGCAGAAGATTTCATATTCTTAAATTCCTACCCCTGACAGCATAGTTCTGTTGGGTATATTTGAGTAGCAGAATTGTTGAGACATAGGTTTATATCTATTCCAACATTTAAGAGGTCACATCGCTTTTGTATGTTTTGTTTTTTATATAAATGAAATCATACAGCAAGAACCTGTCTATATTTAGCTCTTAAATTTTTATGATTTTTCAAATGTACTATTGATTTCCATTAGCATTGATACATAACATTCCTTCTGTTAATATCAAATATTTGAATCATTCTATTCTGAGGGAGCAAGTGGTTGGTCTTCTGGTTTGGGACTGTTATGACTAGTGCTGATATACAAATTCTGGAATTTGTCTTTTGATGATATATTTAGAAATTCATTTGGGGCATACTTATAAGAGGGGAATTGTCGAGACAGAGGTTGATATCTGTTCCACTTAAGTAGGTACTGCCAAACAGTTCTCCAAAATGCCTGTGCCAATTTTAACGCCCATCAGCAGCACATGGAATTCCTGGCACATGTTTGCCAAAACTTGGTATTTCCTGACATTTTAATTTTAGACTTCTAGTTGGCGTATGATGGCACCAGGTGGTGGTGTTATTTGAAGTTTCATGATTACTGAGGACATCAAAACTTTCCTCATAGTTACTACTCACTGGACAATTTCCATTTTTTTGTTTCTGATGTAATGTTTTCCCTATACTTAATTATATTATGTGATATGTGTTCTTTATGCTACATACAACTCTTCCTACCTATGCTCCCCGCTGTGTGTATGCGTGTGTGTGTGTGTGTGTGTGTGTGTGTGTGTGTGTGATGGCGGCCAACTCTTATTTAATGTTCTAATTTGTCATTTCACCCATATCATCAATGTGTTTCATACTGTTTATAAAACATCCTCAGATTCTAAGACTATAGCAAATATTTCATTTTGTAATTCTCAAAATTGCATTATCTGGTTGTAAATTTCAATCAGCAATCCATTAGTATTGGTTTGTTGAATGGCATGGGTAGTGAATGAGGCTGTTTCTTTTCTTACATATTACTACCAAAATCACTGTATTCTGAAAATGTTGAATTACGCTTTTTTTTTTCCATTTGCTCTCACTTGTGGGGAAAAGAAAGAGAGATCAGACTGTTACTGTGTCTATGTAGAAAGAAGTAGACATAAGAAACTCCATTTTGTTCTGTACTACAGAAAATTTTCTGCCTTGAGATGCTGTTAATCTGTAACCCTAACCCCAGCCTTGTGCTTGCAGAGACATGTGCTCTGTTGACTTAAGGTTTAATGGATTTAGGGCTGTGCAGGATGTGCTTTGATAAAAATGTGTTTGAAGGCAGTATGGTTGGTAAAAGTCTACCCCCTCTCTGAGATGGTAGAGAGTAATCAGTTAATACTGAGGGAACTCAGAGACCAGTGCTGGCACAGGTCCTCCATATGCTGAGCGCCGGTCCCCTGGACCCACTTTTCTTTCTCTATACTTTGTCTCTGTGACTTATTTCTTTTCTCAGTCTCTCGTCCCACCTGATGAGAAACACCCACAGGTGTGGAAGGGCTGGCCCCCTTCATCTAGTGCCCAACGTGGGTGAAATACGCTAGAGCGTGGTCATTGAGGACAAGTCGACAAGAGATTCCCAAGTACATCCATGGTCAGCCTTGCGGTAAGCTTGTGCGCTCGGAAGAACCCAGGGTAAAAATAGAACAAACTGATAGTAAATATGCCTCTTATCTCAGCTTAATTAAAATTCTTTTAAGAAGAGGGGGAGGTAGAGTCTCTACAGAAAATATAATCACACTATCTCAAATGACAGAACAATTCTGCCCATGGTTTTCAGAACAGGGAACTTTAGATCTAAAAGATTGGGACAAAATTGGCAAAGAATTAAAACAAGCAAGTCGGGAGGGTAAAATCGTCGCACTTACAGTATGGAATGATTGGGCCATTATTAAAGTACCTTTAGAATAGTTTCAAACAGGAGAAGACAGCATTTCAGTTTCTGATGCCCCTGAAAGCTGTGTAATAGATTGTGAGGAAGAGGCAGGGACAGAATCCTGGAAAGGAACAGAAAGTTTACGTTGTAAATATGTAGCAGAGTCTGTAATGGCTCGGTCAACGCAAAATGTTGACTACAATCAATTACAGGAGGTAATATACCCTGAAACATTAAAATTAGAAGAAAAAGGTCCAGAATTAGTGGGTCCATCAGAGTCTAAACCACGAAGACCAACTCCTCTTCCAGCAGTTCAGATACCTGTAACATTACAACCTCAAATGCAGGTTAGACAAGTCCAAACCCCAAGAGAATATCAAATAGAGAAAGACAGAGTCTCTGTCACGGCAATGCCAATCCAAATACAGTATCCACAATAACAGTCAGTAGAAAATAAGACCCAGTATTGATAGTAGTCTATCAATACTGGCCGCCAGCTGAACTTCAGTATCGGCTGCCCCCAGAAAATCAGTATGGACAGCCAGGAATGTTTCCAGCACCACAGGGCAGGGCTCTACAGCCTCAGCTGCCCACTATGAGACTTAATCCTGTATCACCATCTAGTGGACAGGGTAGTGCATTATATAAGATTATTGACAAGGCGAGAAAACAAGGAGATATTGAGGTTCCCAGTAATATTAGAGTAATATTAGGTACAACCTGGAGAAGGGGCCCAAGAGGGAGAGCCTCCCCTAGCTGAGGCCACATATGAGTCATTTTCTATGAAAATGCTCAAAGATATGAAAGAGGGAGTAAAGCATATGGACTCAACTCCCCTTATATGAGAACATTATTAGATTCCACTGCTCATGGACATAGACACATTCCTTATGATTGGGAGATTCTGGCGAAATCATCACTCTCACCCTCTCAATTTTTACAATTTAAGACTTGGTGTATTGATGGGGCACAAGAACAGGTCTGAAGAAACAAGGCTGCCAATCCTCCAGTTAACATAGATGCAGATCAACTATTAGGAACAGGTCAAAATTGGAGCAGTATTAATCAACAAGCAATAATGCAAGATGAGGTCATTGAGCAAGTTAGAGCTATCTGCCTTACGGCCTGGGAGAAAATCCAAGACCCAGGAACTACCTGCCCCTCATTCAATAAAATAAGACAAGGCTCTAAAGAGCCCTACCCTGATTTTGTGGCAAGGCTCCAAGATGCTGCTCAAAAGTCAATTATGGATGATTATGCCTGTAAGGTCATAGTGGAGTTGATGGCATAAGAAAATGCCAATTGAGTGTCATTCAGCCATTAAGCCATTAAAAGAAAAGGTCCCAGCAGGATCAGATGTAATCTCAGAGTACATAAAAGCCTGTGATGGAATTGGAGGAGCTATGCATAAAGCTAAACTTATAGCTCAAGCAATAATGGGAGTTGTTTTAGGAGGACAAGTTAGAACATTTGGGGGAAAATGTTATAATTGTGGTCCAATTGGTCATCTAAAACAGAATTGCCCAGTCTCAAATGAACAAAATATAACAACTCAAGCTACTACAAAAAAGAAAGAGCCACCTGGCCTATGCCCAAGATATAAAAAAGGAAAACACTGGCTAATCAATGTTGTAATAAATTTGATAAAAATGGGCAACTGTTGTTGGGAAAGGAGAAGAGGGGCCAACTTCAGGCCCCACAACAAACTGGGGCATTCCCAATTCAGCCCTTTGTTCCTCAGGGTTTTCAGGGACAACACACCCCACTGGGAAGCGACGGTTGTAGTGAGCTGAGATCGTGCCACTGCATTCCATCCTGGGCGACAGAGCAAGGCTCCATCTCAAAAAAAAAACAAAAACAAAACAAAAGTTACCTAGTAACCTAGGATTTCTGTTGAATTCTGAGCTAGCCACAAGGCAAATTTTCATTTCTTTTCCTATGCGCAGCACTTACTGTAACTTGGACAGTGTATCCATATGGGATGAAGGTTAAAAAACCGGTTAAAGAAGGCCAAGAGATCTACTCCCAGAAAAGTGAGAACGATGAAGATAAATCATGATCTCAAAAAAAAAAAAAAAAAAAAAAATCACATCTCAGTTCAGCAGGTCACAGAGAAGCCAGGATCTTTGAAATGGTAACTTTAGCAAGGGATAGGTCTTACGGACAAATAAAAGGGTCATCTCTAAGACATCCCAAAAGAAACCCACCTCCCCCTATCTGTTACAGTCTCATCCATTCTCAGAGACTAAGATTTTCCTCCTCCTTTGTGTTCTACTTATTCTAAGGGTCCTTTGCCTTTTCTGCGCTGCCCCTTTTATATTTGACTAAGTCTCTCTAATCACACAAAAGTTGTGGGTGACAATTCCATTCTTTACAACTGTCATTCCCTTCAATGACAAAATACTCTTCTCTTTCCAAATCATTCTCTCTCCAAATCAATATAGTTTTTGATTTTCTATGTGTTGGGAAATATTAAATCATGCAAAGCAGCCTCTTCAGCACAACTTTCTGGGATGCTGGAAATGATGACAGAGAGTCCCCATTGTCTCAAAGTTCTGTTCACTCTGCTGTCCAGTTTGGTAGCAGCTATTCACGTACAGCTCTTGAGCAGTGAGGGAACTGAATTTTTAAATTTTGTGTTCAGTTTCTTTAATTCTAAAATTTAAGTAGCCACAAAAATTAGCAGGGAATTTGTAATCTTTTGGAGAGATGAGACCTGGGCATAAAAAACAAAACCAAACCAAACCTCATTTTTGTACTCAGGTGCTTAAGTACCATTAACAGCAGTCCTTCTGCTGCTCCTTGAACAACAAATTATCATGTTCCCTGGACACAGTTACTCCATGTCCATTTCACCTAATGTAGATATTTGCATCCCCTGACTAGATTAGCTGAGTGTAATGATACTACTTAAAATTAACCCCGCAAACTCTCCGGGAGACCACAAACTTTTTCTTCTTTGACCTCAGCTCCTGGAACAGGACAGGGTACAAAGGATATAATTTTAAAATATTTGTTTAATGAAACAAAATGACTAGTTTCACAGATCCCTCTGCAAAATATAAAGTTCTGAAAGTTTATGGTCCTGGTTTTCAATTAATCCTTCACACTGGTCTAAGGAAACTGAATTGACACAAATGCGTCCCACATCCCACCATTCCTGTACTAGCCCTTTCCCACCAACCGCCCTTATGGGGTTTTTCAGTCACTGCAACACCCCCGATACCAATTCTTTCATCTCTTTTAAAAATTCACAGTACTTCATTTCTTCCACTTCAAAGTACTTGGGCTTCCTTTACTCATTTATTTGACACAATAGAGCAATTGCTGTGTATGTGTTTAGGCTAACATCAGATTTTGCCTGTGCATCACAGCATACATTTAAATAGGATGAGTTTATCAGGCTTTCTCTGCCTTAAACATTTTCTCTCAGTGTATGCTTTTCAGCCACATAATGAACTACAAATTTTTGCTCCACCCTTTTTCCACATAGATCTGAGTTCTCTTCCTATGGGTTTTCTGTAACATAAAATAAGACATAATTGATCACGGAAGGCACAACCACATTCACCGCATTCACAAGGTTTCTGTCCTGTGCAAATCCTCTATCATCTCCTGAGGCTGCACATCTGACCACTGGCTGTCCCACAAGGACTATGTTCCTGTTTGCGAGGAGGCCGCTGATGTTTAGTGATGTCTGAGGGGCCACGGAAGGCACTTGTGTAGTCACCCCGTTAGCGGAGTTTTTCTCCTGCATGACATCACTGGTGTGTAATAAGCTGTGCCTCTCTGCAGGAGGATTTTCCACCTTGACTGCATCTTGTTTCTCCCTCGTGTGTATTCTCTTATGCTTAACCAGGCACGACATATACGCAAATGCTTTCCCACACTCGTTGCAGCCATAGGGTCTCTCTCCTGTATGAGTCCTTTGATGGACAATGAGCTTTTGCTTTGTGCTAAAGGCTTTCCCACATTCACTACATTCAAAGGGTTTCTCTCCTGTGTGAATTCTTTGATGTTTAATGAGACCTGACTTCTGAGAACAGGATTTTCCACATTCACTGCACACAAAGGGCGTCTTTCCCGTGTGAAATCTCTGATGTGCTATGAGGCAAGTCTTCTGAATGAAGCCTTTTCCACATTCACTGCATATATAAGGTTTCTCACCTGTATGAATTCGCTGGTGTACAATGAGATTTCCTTTCTGGATGAAGCCTTTTCCACATTCACTGCATATATAGGGTTTCTCTCCGGTATGTGTTTTCTGATGTATGTTGAGCCGTGATTTCTTGAGAAAGGCTTTGCCACATTCAGGGCATTCATAAGGTTTTTCTCCCGTATGAGTTCGCTGATGTTCAGTGAGCATGAACTTTCTGGAGAAGGCTTTCTCACACAGACTACATCTGTGGGGTTTCTCTCCTGTATGCATTACCTGGTGATCAGTTAGCCAAGACTTCTTGATGAAGGCTTTCCCACATTCACTGCATACGTGATGCTTCTCCAATTTCCGTGTTTTCTGATGCTTGGGATTGATGAATTGGGACTTAGTGCTGATGAGTTTTTGACTTGCAGGGAATTTAATTGCAGTATGAAGTCGTTCATGGTTAGCTTGAAGAAAGGAGTCCCCATTTCCAGTAAACTCACAAGAGTTCTTTATTTCATAGCCTTTGCTCTTATTAACTAAAGTTAAATTTGATTTCAAACTTTTTCCATGTAAGTCAAATGTATCATGATTCTGCCCTAACAGAAACTGACTTTTGCTGCAATGAACGATATTTTCAAATGCATCATGTTCATGACATTGTTTCCTTCTGTTCACTAGGATTTCACTATGCAAGCGCTTCAGCACATGATCATCAACTTTCCAGATTTCTAGAAAGAAAAGAACAAAGATTTCCATCATTTTGATCTGAGGTAAAAGTCTGTTCTGGTTTTTTTTTTTGGTTTTCTTTTGTTTTTTTGTTTTAGATGGAGTTTCACTCTGTTGCCCAGAATGGAGTGCAATGCTGCAATCTCAGCTCACTGCAACTTCCACTTCCCGGGTTCAAGCGACTGTTCTGCCTTAGCCTCCCAAGTAGCTGGGATTACAGGTGCCTGCTACCATGCCCGGCTAATTTTTGTAGTTTTAGTACAGACGGGGTTTCACCATGTTGGCCAGGCTGGTCTCAAACTCCTGACCTCACGTGAGCCATTGTGCCCGGACAAAGTATTTTTTTTTTTTTTTGAGTCGGGGAGATGGAGTCTCACTCTGTTGCCCATGCTGGAGTGCAGTGGCACAATTCCGGCTCATGACCAAACTTGTTTTGTTTTGTTTTGTTTTGCGGGGGAGATGGAATCTCACTCTGTCGCCCAGGCTGGAGTGCAGTGGCACAATCTCGGCTCACAGCCTAAGTACTTTTTTTTTTTTTTTTTGGCGGGGGGCAGGGCGGAGATGGAGTCTCACTCTGTTGCCCAGGCTGGAGTGTAGTGGCACAATCCCAGCTCACCGTAACCTTGGAAGCGATTCTCCTGCCTCAGCCTTCCATGTGGCTGGGATTATAGGCATGTGCCACCACGCCCAGCTAATTTTGTATATTCAGTAGAGACGGGGTTTCACCATGTTAGCCAAGTTGATCTCAAACTCCCAACCTCAGGCGATCTGCCCGCTTTGGTCTCCCAAAGTGCTGGGATTACAGGTATGAGCTGCTGCACCCGGCCCCAAAGTATTTTTTTTTTAATGCCTTGATGTGAAGTGTCTCTTTAGTAATAACAGTATGACCTGAGTGTAAATAAAACTACATGTTTAATGTTCCTTGCACATTGGCAAAAAATAATAGTATAGACAAACTAAAAGGAGAAAGCAGTTAGCATAAAAACAAGGTTAGATCACTAATAATGAATAAAGACAGATTTGGCTGCATTCTAAATGTGCCTTGCAAAACAAAGACCTTAAAAATACAAGCAATTCACTGTGACCAGCAGACCAGAGGTTGGAGGGCCATTTCATCCAAAGAACAGATCCATCCATTCCACAGCCTCTTACTGAATGATCACCATGTACCAGGTATGGTGCTAGTGTTGGGGATAGGCATGAGAATCGTTTGAACCCAGGAGGCGGAGGTTGCTATGAGCCAAGATCACACCATTGCACTCCAGCCTGGGCACACAGTGAGACTCTGTCTCAAAAAATAAATAAAAAAAAATAAATAATAATAAGTAATTTTTAAGGGAATGAGTCAGGGAAGTAATCATATGTGTGGAACACACCAGGGAGGGTTTAGGAAAGAAGATGGAAATCTCTTTGTGAGCAGGATGGTATTGTATCACAGAGATCACTGAAACGAGAACTTTGATGGGTAACATGGTTTACTGGGACTTAGTGGCATCAGAATATGACGGGGAAAAAAACAAAAGCAAATTATTAAACACAGAAAGGAATCAAATGGAAGTAGGGCAGGAGTTATGACCTGGTTTAAGCTGGCCTTGGGAATGTAGGATGTTTTAAAAAATGACTTTTTTACTTAGAGATTCATCATGACTAGCAGATACCTTTAAAGAAGAGAGCTCTTCGGACAAGTAATGCCTGGATGGCCAAGATTCAGGATGTACAGGAACAAACGAGAATACAAACTTAACAGGGGTTTTCTTGGAGGAAAGATGATTCTAGTTCTTTGCAGTTACTAGGAACTCAGGGGAGGATTGCCATCAAATAAACACAGAACTAAAATCTGTGTTAGGTAACAACCGGGAGATGTCAGTTTGGGACTCTCCTCCAGGGAATGGAAGGCGCTTAACTTACTAGAATGAAGGAAACTTTGAAGAGTGAAGGGCACAGATGAGAAAATGGAAAACGGGGCCTTTGGAGAACCTAAGAATAAGGAAAAAGAGAAGCCAAGGAAGCCAACGCACAGTGAAAGCCCAGTTTACCCTGAGGAAGCCACTGTCACATCCAACACAGCGGAGGTGTTAGGAGGGGAGGTCAGCATTAGTCAAGGGGCATGAAGAGGCGGGAGTTCGAGAAGTTTCCTCTTTGGAGAGAGGCCTGGAAGGTGGAATTTCATAACAAGAGAGGTGGAAGGACATGAAGAAGGGAAATACTTGAAACCCGAGGATGAAGAAAATTATGCAGGCAAACAAAAAATATGTAGATAAAATAAAGAATCAGATCTCTGAAGAGATAAAGGGATTTTTTTTTTTAAACTCTAAATTCCTACAAAGAAAAACAGGTCTCACACTGGGAGAGAGATGAGTAGAGCAACTGTTTACATATCCTCAAACCCCCTTCACAGCTGTGTTGCCTTCTCTGACCGACTTAGAATGTGACTTTCACAGCCTTCTGCCTTGTGGGTTCTCTCACCTGAACAAGCTCCACTGTGGATTCCATCTTCTATTGTCCACGATGGTTCTCCTTGTTCCAACTTGAAGAATACATCCGGTTTGCTGGCTTGATACCCTGTTCATGGGAAATGATAGAGGACTGAGACATATCAAATTGGGCTGGCAATGTCAAGAGGAAGAACGCTACACTTCAGGAAACTTGAGTTTCTTAAAATATGGAAAGTTTAGTTTCATATCTGAAACTATGAAAGTTTAGTTTCATCTGTAACATCAAGGTTTTTTTTCTCTCACAAGAGGGTAGATTACACCATCTTGTGTGGGAGCAAGAGAAGGATCTGAGAATCTAACACTTCATAGTACTGCAGGCATTCCAAAGAGGTAAGCATCTGAGAAAGGAAGGCCACTGACTGGGCACCCTCTGAGTGACACAGTGCAGCTGTCCTCACCGACTGCCACCAGGTTGCTGTAGTTCTCCAACATCACGTCCCGGTACAGGTCCTTCTGAGCAGGGCCCAGGAGCTGCCACTCCTCCCAGGTGAAGTCCACAGCCACATCCTCCAGTGTTACGGATTCCTGTAATAACAGTCCTGTTTAATAAAGTGATGTCTTTTTGATGATATGGAAGAAATGCTAAAGTTTTTCTGCTCATTTCCACTCTACAGGCTGTGTGTTTATACCAAATAGTTGTTGTTTTTTTAAAAAAATACGTTGTGGAAGAAGTAAAGTCCTAATATAATATTATGTCATTGTATATTCAATTATCCTCCATTCACCCATGTGGGGAAAAGAAAGAGAGATCAGACTGTTACTGTGTCTATGTAGAAAGAAGTAGACATAAGGAACTCCATTTTGTTCTGTACTAAGAGAAATTCTTCTGCCTTGAGATGCTGTTAATCTGTAACCCTAGCCGCAACCCTGTGCTCGCAGAGACATGTGCTGTGTTGACTCAGGGTTTAATGGATTTAGGGTTGTGCAGGATGTGCTTTGTTAAACAAGTGCTTGAAGGCAGTATGCTTGGTAAAATTCATGCCATTCTCTCATTTCAAGTACCCAGGGACACAATACACTGTGGAAGACCGCAAGGACCTCTGTCCAGGAAAGCCAGGTATTGTCCAAGGTTTCTCCCCATGTGATAGCCTGAGATATGGCCTAGTGGGAAGGGAAAGACCTGACCGTCCCCCAGCCCAACATCCATAAAGGGTCTGGGCTGAGGAGGATTAGTGAAAGAGGAAGCCCTGTTTGCAACTGAGATAAGAGGAAGGCATCTGTCTCCTGCTCGTTGCTGGGCAATGGAATGTCTTGGTATAAAACCCAATTGTGTGTTCTATTTACTGAGATAGGAGAAAACTGCCTTAGGGCTGGAGGTGAGAAATGCTGGTGGCAATAGTGCTCTTTACTGCACCGAGATGTTTGTGTAAAGTCAAACATAAATCTGGACTACATGCACATCAAGGCACAGCACCTTTCCTTAAACTTATTTATGACACAGAGATCTTTGCTCACATGTTTTCCTGCTGACCCTCTCCCCACTATTACCCTATTGTCCTGCCACATCTCCATCTCCAAGATGGTAGAGATAGTGATCAACAAATACTGAGGGAACTTAGAGACCAGGGCCAGGCGCAGGTCCTCCGTATGCTGAGCACTGGTCCCCTGGGCCCACTTTTCTTTCTCTATACTTTGTCTCTGTGTCTTATTTCTTTTCTCAGTCTCTCCTCCCACCTGATGAGAAATGCCCACAGGTATGGAGGGGCAGGCCCCCTTCATCCCAATTGGAAGTTTCTATAAAGTGTGGAGGTTAAATCTTGCTAACCTAAAAACAACATATTTACACATTTTATATATGTAAATATATAAAAAATATATATATATATAAATATATAAATGTACAGATGCAGACAAAAGACATATATACAGTCGTCCTTTAGTGTCTGTAGGGTACGGGTTCCAGGACCTCCTGAGGATGCTCAAGTGTCTGATATAAAATGGCACAGTATTGGTCAGGCACAGTAGATCACACCTGTAATCCCAGCACTTTGGGAGGCCAAGGCAGGAGGGTCACCTGAGCCCAGGAGTTCAAGACCAGCCTGGGCAACATGAGACCCCGTCGGTACAAAAAATTTAAAAATTAGCTGGGTGCAGTGGTGAGTGCCTGTGGTCCCAGCTACTTGGGAGGCTGAGGCAGGAAGCTCATTTGAGCCCAGGAGTTAGAGACTACAGTGAGTATGATCATGCTACAGAACTTCAGCCTGAGCAACAGAAAAAGACTCTGTCTCTAATAAAATAAAACAAAATGGAAGAGTACTTGCAGATTTGCATGTGACCCACGCACATCCTCCTACGTACTTTTTTTTTTTTTTTAAACAGAGACTCACTCTCTCTCCCAGGCTGGGGTGCAGTGGCATAATCTCAGCTCACTACAACCTCTGCCTCCCGGGAGCAGGCAATTCTTCTGCCTCAGTCTCCCAAGTAGCTGGGACTACAGGCTGTGCCACTACACTTGGCTAATTTTTGTTTTTTGTTTTGAGATGGAGTTTTGCTCCTGTTGCCCAGGCTGGAGTGCAATGGTATGATCTCAGCTCACTGCAACCTCTGCCTCCCAGGTTCAAGCGATTCTCCTGCCTCAGCCTCCCAAGTAGCTAGGATTACAGGAGCCCTGCCACCACACCCAGCTAATTTTTTGTATTTTTAGTAGAGACGGGATTTCACTATGTTGGCAAGGCTGGTCTCAAACTCCTGACCTCAGACGATCCACCCGCCTCAGCCTCCCAAAGTGCTGGAGTTACAGGAGTGAGCCACCACACCCAACCCCATATACTTTAAATTATCTTTAGATTACTTATAATATCTAATACAATGTAAATGTTATGTTAACAGTTGTTATACTGTATTGTTTAGGGAATCATGACAAGAAAAAGTCTGTGTGTGCTTAGTTCAGATGCTTTAAAAAATATATATTTTCGATCCTCAGTTGGTTGAATCCATGGATGTGGAAGTCATGGATGTGGAGGGCCAACAATATATCACAAATCCAGGCCTCCTATTTTTCTGATGGACTAATTATAAATTGAGGGTTCCCATGACCTTCTCCTTGACTTTGATAATTTTTCAAGGAGAAGGAGAAAATCAAGTAATGGAGAAACAATATCCAAATATGTAACACTGAAAATTTTTCAGAACTGATTAAACACTCCAAACTTCAAACTCAAGAAATCCAACAACCAAGAAGTCTACATGTAGACACAACAGATCGAAACTAAGTTACACCAGATACAAAGAGGAGACTATAAAAGCATCCAGAGACCAAAGACAAGTTACCTACAAAGGAGACAAAATTTTCTGACAGCTGACTGCTCCAGAAAAGTTATTATAGCCAATAAATATCGGAACAATAAGTGTTAAGGTCCTAAGCTCTTGAACAACACAGCCCAACCCTGAAGACCATTTGGGACTCAAAGGCATGGCTGGCAAGGGATCTACAGCCCTGTAATAGTGACAATTAAGACTGCTTATCAATGAATTGTCAATCTCCTGTCTCAGGATGCCTTTAAAGAATACTGCTGGGTGGAAAATTGAGTCATTGAAGACCCAGGGAACAGCAGAAGGTATACTCTACACTCATTTTATTATAGAGGCCAGTGAACACTCTTGATAGATGATGTAAGTACTTAATCCTGGTTGGTTTACCCATTCTAAATTATTTATGTGAGATATCTATCTATTTGGTAAAAAGTAAAGTGACAGTCCTACCTCAATCCACACTCAAAAATAATTTACTATATGACAGATCTATGGCAGGCAGATGGCTCAATGAACTCCACCCTCCCAGTGTTCACACCTTTATGTAGCTCCCACTTGCAGGAGGCCAAAGGCCCGTGGGACGTGACCAACTCAGCATTCCACTGGAGGCTACGTGATCAAACAGCAAACTGTTTATCATGAATGCAAGATGTGAGCAAACTCATGATTGCTCCTACAGACAGAAGGTTTTCTGGAGGCAATCACAGCCTGGAGCTGAGGTTATCTACTGCAACATCTAGAGAATGCAGTCTTGTGAGTCTACTCTGGACTGAGCAGCTGACCCCTTCTTCCACTGCACCCCACTCAACTATCTCTTTTGCCTAAAAATATGGAGGGCTGTGTAAAGCTCAGAGTCCTTGTCCACTAGAGGCAAGGTACCCCCAACCCCTTCTTCCAAATATACTCTTTTATCTCTTGTCTTTTATTCCTGTGTTTGCCACTCTTTGTTCCATCCCCCTAGGTCCATGCAGGTTACAAGTGGCGCCCAAACAGGGACAGAATTGGGTGCTCTACACCCTCTCCTTGAGCATGGACTGGCCTAGTGACTTACCTCTAATCAGAAGAATATGGCAAAGGCGTTGGAATCTCACTTCCTTAATTAAGCTATACATGTTTAAAACAATTATTCAATGATAATTGTTAAAGCACAATAAGGAAGACTTTATTCAGGGCCATTATGATAGGCATATAGACAAATGTAATGGGATTTTGCAGTGGTAGAGGGTGACTGAACTCAACTCTAAATACAGCAAAAGCAAGTGGGAATTTACAGCCAAGGAGCAGAGTGAGGGTCAGTAATACAAAATTACCAAGAGGGCCAGGTGCAATGGCTTATGCCTGTAATCCCAGCACTTTGGGAGGCCAAGGCGGGAGAACTGCTTGAGCTCAGGAGTTCAAGAGCAGCCTGGGCAACACAATAAGACCCCATCTCTATAAAAAAAAAAAAAAAAAGAGGAGGAGGAGGAGGAGAAGGAGGAGGAAGGAAAAAGGAAGAAGAAGGAGGAAAAGAAGAAAGGAGAAAGAAAAAAGCAGAAAATAAAAGTAAAAAATTAAAAAACATAGTCAACCCATTATTCCCTACCCACGCCCCACACACCACACGACAAAACTTATGGATCTTTAATCTTTTTTATTTTTTTTTTTTTTTGAGATGGAGTCTTTGCTCTGTCCGCCCGGGCTGGAGTGCAGGCCAGATCTCATGCTCACTGCAGCTGTCTGCTCCGTAGGTAGCTGTGACTGCAGGCGCGCGCCGCCGCCCGAACGCGCCGGTACGGCGAGGTGTGGTGTTTTTGTATTTTTTTAAGTAGGGGATTGGGGTTTGCACCGTGTTAACCAGGATGGTTCAAATCTCCGTGCCCTCTGTGAATCCACCCGTGCGGGTGCGGCCGTCCGCAGAGTAGCTGGTCATTACAGGCTTGAGCCACCGCGCCCGGCCTCTTTTATCATTTTTCAAATTAAATACTTGATTCTCTCCCAACCCCCAATGGTAACAAATGCATTTTTTTCCAAGTTATCACTATAAACTGATGGAATTTTATACAATGAATGTTCTTCCATCATTTGCTATCATTGGTCTTTGGATGTTCAAAGTATAGCATCTTAGGCCAATGAAGAGTCCCTTCAAGTTGGCTGCTATGTTCTTTGAAATATGATTCTATCATGTAAAAAAAATATATATATATATCTCATAATAGATATATATGTTTATGTCTACAGATTCATATATACTCATGCTTTTGTTAATACATACATAGATCCACACACAGATACAGTGACAGGAAGTAAATATTACCAACCATTTACAGAAGGGGATTAGGAAGAAAATATATGAAAAGGGAACTTTTTCTTTCTTTCTTTTTTTCAATTTTATTAAACAGAGTCAAGAGTCTCACTAGATTGCTCAGGCTGGTCTCAAACTCCTGAGACAGCCTGAGATATGGCCTTGTGGGAAGGGAAAGACCTGACCGTCCTTCAGCCCGACACCCGTAAAGGGGCTGTGCTGAGGAGGATGAGTGAAAGAGGAAGGCCTGTTTGCAATTGGGATCAGAGGAAGGCATCTGTCTCCTGCTCGTCCCTGGGAATGGAATGTCTCAGTGTAAAACCCGATCGTACATTCTATTTACTGAGATAGGAGAAAACCACCTTATGGCTGGAGGTGAGACATGCTGGTGGCAATACTGCTCTTTACTGCACCGAGATGTTTGTGTAAAGTCAAACATAAGTCTGGCCTACGTGCACATCAAGGCACAGCACCTTTCCTTAAACTTATTTACGACACAAAAACCTTTGCTCACATGTTTTTCTGCTGACCCTCTCCCCAGCATTACCCTGTAGTCTTGCCACATCCCCCTCACTGAGATAGTAGAGATAGTGATCAATAAATACTGAGGGATCTCAGAGACCAGTGCCGGCGTGGGTCCTCCGTATGCCGAGCACTGGTCCCCTGGGCCCCACTTTTCTTTCTCCATACTTTGTCTCTGTGTCTTATTTCTTTTCTCAGTCTCTCGTCCCACCCGATGAGAAACACCCACAGGTGTGGAGGGGCTGACCCCCTTCATATTCCATAGCGGTACATAAGGAATCCTTCAAGAAATAGCCACAGGAAACCTGCATCTGCATTTATGAGAAAGCTGCTATTCTGGACACCATCCGCCACACCACCTCTAGGAAGGACCACCGAAGAAATTTCCTGAGAAAAAAGTGCCATGAAATAATGGCATCCCCCCAGGAAGTAATCTGTTTTATATTCAAAACCAGGACATACCATGTAAATCATGATTTTCTTGTGATATTGGCTGTTAGAGATATTAGATGCAAGCTGACAGCTAATATAACCCACAGTATCTTCCAGCCATGCATGATGTCACGAAATTCATAATTCACTGTTAATGCTATGAACATTATCTTCCTTATCCTACTATTTTTCATGATATTGAGTTTAAAAACTAAGCTCATTTATCTCCAGATCCTGCTTTTTAAAATTTTTACTTTTTATATTAGTGAGATAGATGTGTATAGGCTTCTACAAATCTATTATGGAACAAATAAAAGAATAAAACAAACCATAAGTCAGTTACCTGGGCCTGGATCATTTTCTTCTGTTCTTGGAAAAGAGCATTCAACTGGGATGGTCTGTCTTTGTATCTTCTGGCTTCTCTTCAGAAGTCTCAGTCTTCAATCAAGTGTGCCCCTAGAAATGGTGATACCCAAATCCACTTCCTCCCTCTTCAGGTGATGCTTTTTCTCCTGAGGAGTCAGAACCTGTGGGCTGAAGAACAAATTCAATGTAAGTGGTACATTTTCTCTGGGCCCAGATACTGTCACTGCTCCTAGGCACTCATCTTAAAACAATGCCCCCAATATAGTTAACTATACCTTTATTTGGAGCCCCAGAAGATTTTATCCCTCTGGCCAATAATGTCGAAGATTCTTATTGTGGTGGAAGTACACCTTTCCTCTGTGAGGTTTCTGTGAAAGGACTGTGAAGGCATGCAGGAAATAAGACCCACCATAGCACCATGCTTCAGGAGCTGGTGAACTCTCAGGCAGATTAGTTTTAGAAAAGAGACAGTCGGCAAAGAGAGGAGCTGGTCTTTGTTTTCGTTTAAATCACGTGTGTTCACACACCTCTTCAAAAGTCTTTGTACATACACCCTGTGAGGACATGTACTTCAGTTTGAAAGCCAATGTACTGGGCAAATCATAAGCATTGTCATAAAAACAGTAGTGACAATATTTTAGGAGGTTTTAAATACATAAATAGCTAAAATACACAATAATTTACTGGATAAATTAGGTGGTAAATGAAGTTGACGTGCTCTAAGGTTTCTGTAGAATGGAAAAGTCCTAATTAGCAGAAGAATATGAACAAAGGTTGCCACAACACATGTAATCTCTAGTGTTAACATTAAACCAGTAAGTCCAGGCACAGTGGCTCACGCCTGTAATCTCAGCACTTTGGGATGCCAGGCGGGTGATCACTGACATCAGGATTGAGACCAGCCTGGCCAACATGGTGAAACCCCCTCTCTACTAAAAATACAGTCATTCCAGAACGCTGAGGCAGGGAAAATCACTTGAACCCGGGAGACGGAGGTTGCCATGAGACAAGACCATGCCATGCACTCCAGCCAGCGCAAAGAACAAAAACCCTCGCTCACAAAAAACAACAACAACACAAAAAACCTAGTAATTTTTTAAAGTACATAATTTCCAAGCCAACAAAAGGGGGGAAAATAATAGTAAGAAAATCATCCTGGCCGGGCGCGGTGGCTCAAGCCTGTAATCCCAGCCACTTTGGGAGGCCGAGATGGGCGGATCACGAGGTCAGGAGATCGAGACCATCCTGGCTAACACGGTGAAACCCCGTCCTACTAAGAAATACAAAAAATAGCCGGCGAGGTGGCAGGCGCCTGTATGTCCCAGCTACTCAGGAGGCTGAGGCCGGAGAATGGCGTGAACCCGGGAGGCGGAGCTTGCAGTGAGCTGAGATCCGGCCACTGCACTCCAGCCTGGCTACAGAGCGAGACTCCGTCTCCAAAAAAAAAAAAAAAAAAGAAAATCATCCAAAGAAGAGAATCCACAGAGAGTAAAAAGAGCAAATACAATGCATTTGGATAGCTGTTTTAAAATAAAATGTACTAAGAAAATTACATTACATTAAGAATTTATGCTAAGTAAAAACAGATCATGGATTCCAGTTAATTACATTAAATATAAATGCCTCAAAACTGTTAGAATAGATTAAAAATTAAAATCGAATAACATCTGGGTTTTTAATTTTTTTTTTTTTTGAGATGGAGTCTTGCTCTGTTGCCCAGGCTGGAGTGCAATGGTGCGATTTTGGCTCACTGCAACCTCAGCCTCCCACGTTCAAATGATCAAACAGCAAACCGTTTATCATGAATGCAGGATGTGAGCAATCTCACGACTGCTCGAGCCGACAGAAGGTTTGCTGGAGGCAGTCACTCCCTGGCACCAAGGTTATCTACTGCAACATCTAGAGAATGCAGTCTTGCAAACCCTACTCTGGACTGAGCAGCTGACCCCTTCTTCCACCCCACCTTCTCACTATCTCTTTTGCCTAATAAATATGGAGGGCTGTGTAAAGCTCAGGGCCCTTGTCCACTAGAGGCAAGGTGCCCCCTGATCCCTTCTTACAAATATACTCTTTTGTCTTTTGTCTTTATTCCTGTGTTCGCCCCCCTTTGTTCAGTCCACCTAGGTCGGAGCAGGTTACAAATGGCAACTCAGAACAGGCACTCCAAGGACACCCAACTAGTGGCATCCGAACATGGGACTTCAAGGATGTGAATGAAGGTCTGCTGGAGCAGGGGAACTGAAATTGACAAGGTGAACGGGGACCCCGGGATGAGTCTGCTGGCAGTGGATATAAGGTCAGTGCCCTAAAGAGGCACTGGGAGCAGTGCTTTAAAGAAGTACTGGAAAATTTTCTGAATCAGGGTAACAAGGGAAAGAATTTGTCTACTGAAGAAAAACATGATGTGTAGTTGCTTAAAGTTCTGTTGAGACAGTCTGGAGCTCAGGTTAATTCGCAGACACTTACTAACCTCCTGCAGAAGCCACAAAAAGTTATTACGCATAACCCATGGTTTCCACAGGGAGGCACTCTTGATGTGGAAAAGTGGGACAGAGCAGGAGAAGGATTAAAACAGGTTCAACAAAAAGGTTTTAAAGTTGATTCTTCTGTTTTATCCACTTGGAATTAGTTCGTACTGTATTTCTGCCATTATCTCATTATTATTCTGCGGGACAGCAGGCTGAATCTAAAAATCTGAAAGAATCTGTTACCCCACCCACAGTTCCAATTGAAAATAAAAAACAGGAGGAGAGGGAGGGTAAAAACTGGCCTATAACGCCTCCTCCAGTTGCAGAAACATCTATACAGCCTCCTTCGGTGGCAGAAATAGAAACCCCAATACAAAGAATTTTATGCTCTGCTGCCATAGCTGGAGAGCCCTTAGGCAGATTTCTGCGTATATAGTTGTCACTATATATTAAGAAGTGAAGGCCGGGTGTGGTGGCTCACGCCTGTAATCTCAGCACTTTGAAAGGCCGAGGCGGGCGGATCACCGGAGGTCAGGAGTTCGAGACCAGCCTGGCCAACGTGGTAAAACCCCGTCTCTACTAAAAATACAAAACTAGCCGGGCCTGGTGGCGAGCGCCTGTAATCCCAGCTATTCGGGAGGCTGAGGCAGGAGAATCGTTTGAACCCGGGAGGCGGAGGTTGCAGTGAGCCGAGATTGTGCCATTGCACTCCAGCCTGGGAGACAAAAGTGAAACTCCGTCTCAAAAATAAAAAATAAAATAAAATAAAAAATAAAACAAGTGAATGCAGAAGTTGGCAACATTTTCGATTTTGCCGGTCATGAGGTCTCTGTCACAACAACTCAATGCTGCCTTTACAGTCATAGACAATATATAATCGGAGGGTATGACTGAACTTGACCCCCCAGTCTGTAAATAGCCATGACCCCCCAATCTGTAAATAGCCACTTCAAGGATGAGAAGAGTAGATATATGGTTTCGAACTAATGCTGGGGGCTGTGTCGCCTTTTGCCCCAGTAACCAAGGTTCGAACCTCAACCCAGAACCCAGGGCTCCCAAGTCTTGAAAGCTTCAGCCCTCACAAGCCTTTGTACCACAGACACTGGCCTCATGCCTCTTACTCATCCGAACCACAGACCAGACACTCTCCAGTGAAGGACATCCTCCCCAACTCCAACATCACTGAGTCTCAAATTAAATCCTGAACCCGAAGCAGACGCCGCATCGATCCTAAGCGCCACTTCCATCCTTTACAAGCAGAGTGATTCATAACTTGACAGGACACGGTCGTTGATCACCACAGACCCTTAGTCATTGTATTCACACCAAAGGGACGGGGCCCACAGACAGGGGGATCACGGACTCCCACCAGGTATCTCCCAAATGCCTGCACCCCGGCGCTCCCCGGTCTTCCTGCGAAACACTACGTGGTCCAGGATACAACACGTCCTCAGACCTCCCAAACCTTCCACTGAGACAAAACCTGAACTGGGACAAAAAACTTTCAGAGGCAAAACCACACACTGACCTCTATTTTCTCCAGATCCACAAGGAGGGCCTCAACGTTACACTTCCGTAAACTGCTTCTACTTCTGGAGTCCTCGCACAGGTTTATGGTCCACCTACGGCGGCCGAGGAGAACCTAAAATGTTAAAAGAGCAAGGACAACCGCATTTACGGCGTTTCCTAGGCTGTAATATGGCCGCGCCCACAGCTGTGGCTCCATGACGGCAGCCATGTTTGAAAATCAGACGTACAGAGGCAATGGCAGGTTTTTGAGCCAGCAGCCAGGGAAGATGAGAAGTCACTGAAATCGCCTCGTTTCCTGGCACTTAAAGTCTTGCGAAAAGGGGCAGATTTTCAGAGACTCAAGCTTTATCAGGCAAATATGGGGCAAGCTAAATTTCCTTTAGCGCTTTGCCATCCACTTTGTTAAATTAAAAAAAAAAAAAAAAGGATCTTGAAAAAGACAAGTAACAGTGCAGCCAGGTGTAGGTATCCCAGAGAATGAATTGGAAATGGAAAAGGTAACACATCAGGTAGAAAGGGAGAAGGCAACACATCAGGTAGGCAGACACCCACGGGAAAGCGTCTGGCAAAAAACAGCTTGCAGGAAGCGGTTTTTGAGAACAGAAAAATAGCAAGTATTCGGGGTGGGGGGTGAAGAAAGAAAAAATAATTGTAATTTTCTTGAGGCAGAGTCTTGCTCTGTCCTCAGGCTGGAGTTCAATGGCAAGATCTCGGCTCACTGCAACCTCTGCCTTCCCCGTTCACGCGATTCTCCTGCCTCAGCCTCCCGAGTAGCTGGGACTACAGGCACGCGCCACCACGCCCGCTAATTTTTGTATTTTTAGTAGAGACGGGGTTTCACCATGTTGGCCATGATGGTCTCGATCTCCTGACCTCGTGATCTGCGTGCCTCGGCCTCCCAAAGTGCTGGGATTACAGGCGTAAGCCACCACGCCTGGCCTCGAAAACATAATTATTATTTAAAGAAGAAGAAGAAGAGGAAGAGGAAGAAGAAGAAGAAGGAAGAAGAAAGAAGAGGAAGAAGAAAGAAAAGAAGAAAGGAAGAAGAAAGAAGAAAAGAAAGAAGAGATTTCGAGAAGGAATTATGATGTGAGCCTGGCCATGACAGACTAAAGGAAAAGAGGAGGCACCTGAGTTAAGATTGGGGTTGGGCCCCCTAGGAAGGCCACTTTTAGTAAAGGTGCCAATGGGAAGAGCAGAACCAGAATTGAGAGTATAAAAATATTAAGAGCTTTTTGACAAAAGTGCCAAGACAATTCAATAAGGATAGTCTTTTCAACAAGCGGCACTGGGATAACTGGATATCCACATGCAGAAAAATTAGTTAAGACCCTTAAACCATACACAAAAGTTAACTTAAAATGGATCATTGATCTAAGTTTAAGAGGTAAAAGTATAAAACTTAGAGAAGAAAAAGGGAGATAATCTTCATGGACGTGGGTTAATTCTGAGAGGAGAGTAAAGGATAAGCCATAAAACTAAATAAAATTAATAAAGTGGACTTAATTTTTTTTTAAGTTTGTGCTTCTAAACACAACATTGAAGAAAGTGAGGTGGGGCACGGTGGCTCACACCTGTAATCCCAGCACTTTGGGAGGCCGAGGCAGGCGGACCGCCGAGGCAGGCGGTCAGGAGTTCAAGACCAGCCTGGCCAACATGGCGAAATCCGTCTCTACTGAACATACAAAAATTACCCGGACGCGGTGGGGCGCGCCTATAATTCCAGCTACTCGGGAGCCTGAGGCAGGAGAATTGCTTGAACCTGGGAGGCGGAGGTTTCAGCGAGCCTAAATCACGCCACTGCACCCCAGCCTGGGTGACAGAGCAAGTATCCTTGGTAAAGACACCACTTCGTCACCCTGAACCACTCTGATTTTTATGGGTGCAATGAGAAGAGTGGATGCAGGAAGACAAAGTTTTTTAATAGAAACCGTCAGGACAGATTTGGACTTGAAAGACTGACAGGAAGTGTTTCCAGCATCCAATTAGTCTCAAAGCAACCACTAACCTTCAACTGCACACCTCAAAGCCTCCAGCCTCATTACATTCTCAAACACAGACAAGCCCCGTCTTCCCCGAAATAAAATTGCCTTCAAATTCAATTTAAAACTTACCGCAGAGGCACTCCTTTGACACTCCTCCCCCTAGACCTTTCATTCACGCCACTCCTTTTCCTAGCTCGGGCTTCTCTGTGTCTGAGCCCCATATTAAATTGCAAACCTGAGCAAAAAACTGCATTCACTGAGAGACACTTTCCATCCAGTTTTCAATTACTGAGACCCATGAAGAGTGAATATGTAGACCCCAAGTTCTGTCCGTGGGACCCTCAGTCATTAAACTCTTAAAACTAAGCCTTAACCTTCTACCTCCCAAGGTTCCCTTTCTCACACCCATATTCCTCGGTGACTAAACTGAAATAAAACCCCTGAACACGGACATTCACATGCATTTCCACTTCGTGGTCCCCACAAGCTCCCCATTCGGATTCACACGCTGCATCAGGCTCTCAAGGCTACAGTAGCAGCTACCAAAGGCCGAACACATATCGGAACCTACTTCCGAATCTGGAATTCTGGTGCTGCAACCCCATCCTTCGCCGTCTCTAAGAACACCGAGAGGCTGGGAGGCGGGCTTCCGGAGAGGGATATGGGACATTTCCCAAAGTCCAAGTTCTGGCTTTGAACATTTTATATGAGGTAACATAGCTGTTTTACCTCATAGAGCATATTATGCCATTTCTGATGGGAGTTAACGCAACGGTTGCCATGGCTCAGGGAGGTGGGAAGAAATGCAAATGTCTTTGGGGGACTCCAGTACCCTCCCTTCCTCCTTACAAGAGACTGTCACGACACTGCGCTAACTGCGTAGGTTTTCAGAGGCCAGAAACTATCTAAGGAGCAAAATGGAAAGATGGCTGCATCCCTGAGCCGTTTGGCAGGAGCACCACGGGAACCACCATCTTACAGAAAGTCCAGGGTCCATAAAACAGAAGAAACTGCAGACAACTGGCTGGATGAGGTTTGTAGAAGCCAAGATGTCACTGGGGCGGCCACAACAAAAACACTGAAGGTTTCAGTCCTGTTCAGGTCTCACTGGATGTGCTGTGAATTTTAGTAGTAAAAGGAAAAAGGAGTTGAAGATGCAAAATGTTCAGGTTCCAACAGCAGCAAAAATAACATATTTGCAAATAAACAGCCAAGAGTCATTAATACTCAGAAAACAAAGCAGTCATTAAAACTAACTCTGAGTCGGCCCTAGTGAAGAATAGCGGACAATAGCTTCAAAGCCAGTATGATAAATGTATTTAAAAACATAAAGGAAAATATTTCGGACATATTTAAGTGTTTAAAGGAAAATATGGCAATAATCCCATAAAAGAAAATCTCAACAAAGACATTGAAAATATAATAAAGAATCCAATATAAATGTTTGTGCTGAAAAATACGGTAACAATTAAAAATTCACATGATAATATCACCAGCAGATTGCAATGTCAGAAGAAACGCTGAGCAAACTTGGAGAGCAAAAGAAATTATCCACCAGAAAGAAAAGAAGAAAAGTTTTAAATACTTGTAAGACATCAGATGTACTCTTTGTTTTAAATAGAGCTGGAGTTTCGCTATTTTGCTGAGGCTGCTCTCAGACTCCTGATTATCAAGCAATCCTCCTGTCTTAGCCTCCCAAAGTGTTAGGATTACAGGCATGAGCCACAACACCTAGGCCAGATAGGAATCACAAGAAAAAAGTTAACAAAGAATATTTTAAGAGATAATAGCTAAAATTTTAGGATTACAAAGGAATTTCCTGAACCTGGTTAAGAAAAAAAAGTATGTAAAAAATATTCTATAGCTAACATATTTTTAAAAAGACTGAATACTTCTCTCCTAAAATTGCAAACATGGCCAAAATGTCCACTCTTACTGTACCTATTTAATGAAGTGGAAGCCCTAGCCCGTGAAGAAAGGTAAGAAAAGGAAAAGAAAACACTGGAACGCAGAAATATCACTGCCCGTCTTCACAGAAGACATGATTATATAAATATAATCCCAAGGAGTCTACAGAACTAGACAAGTGAGTTTAGCAGTCATAAGGTGAAAAGTCAATACACACTCAAATAAATTTTATTTCTAAAGAATAACAATGAACAATTGGAAGCTAAATTATGAACACAAGAACATTTGTAATAGCTCCAAAAATATGGCCAGGAGCAGTGGCTCACACCTGTAATCTCAGCACTTTAGGAGGCTGAGGTGGGCAGATCACTTGAGCCCAGAGTTCGAGACCAGCCTAGGCAAAATGGTGAAACCTCATCTCTAAAAAAAAAATACAAAAATTAGCCAGGTGTGTTGGTGCATGCCTGTAGTCGCAGCTACTTGGGAAGATAAGCAGGAGGATCACTTGAATCTGGGAGACGCAGGTTGCAGTGAACCCAGACTGCACCATTGCGTTCCAGCCTGGGCAACAGAATGAGGCTCTATCACAAAAAAAAAACAGTATAAAATAATGGCAGGCCAGGCGCGGTGGCTCACGCCTGTAATCCCAGTACTTTGGGAGGCCGAGGCAGGCGGATCACAAGGTCAGGAGACAGAGACCAGCCTGGCTAACACGGTGAAACCCCGTCTCTACTAAAAATAGAAAAAAAATTAGCCGAGTGTGGTGGCGGGTGCCTGTAGTCCCAGCTACTTGGGAGACTGAGGCAGGATAATGGCATGAACCCAGGAGGCGGAGCTTGCAGTGAGCCGAGATCGTGCCACTGCACTCCAGCCTGGGCGTCAGAGTGAGACTCTATCTCCAAAAAAAATTTAAAAATTTAAAAATCACTGCAAAAATATGATCCATTTAAATATTTACCAAGACATAAGTAATGTATATGCTATAAATTCAGAAACACTGACTTAAAAAAAAAAAAAGCAAGGAAAGCCTAATTAAGTGGAGAGGCATAGTTGGTTGGAAGATTCAACACAGTAAAGATGGCAAATAAACCAACTTTGATTATACATTTAATGCAATCTCAATAAAACTCCCAAAGGACTTTTTGTGGATATAGAAAAACTTATACTTAAAATTTATACAGAAA